ACTACTACTACTACTACTACTACTACTACTACTACTACTACTACTACTACTACTACTACTACTCGGACGGGACCCTCGGCGGGGGCAGCCCCAGCTCCCTAAATGCTGCGGTGTTCGGCCTCTTCACGCTTCTCATTACTACTACTACTACTACTACTACTACTACTACTACTACTACTACTACTACGACTACTACTACTACTACTACTACTACTACTACCACTACTGCTACTGCTACGGCTACTACTGCTACGGCTACTACTGCTACGACTACTACTACCACCACCACTACTACTACTACTACTACTACTACTACTACTACTACTACTTCTACTACTGCTACTTCTTCTACTACTACTACTACTACTTCTACTACCACTAGTGCTACTACGACTATTACTACTACTACTACTACTACTACTACTACTACTACTACTACTACTACTACTACTAATACTACTACTAGTACTACTACGACTACTATTACTACTACCACTACGACGACGACGACGCCGACGCCGACGACGCCGACGACGTAGACGACGATGACGATGACGACGACCACGACGACGACGACGATGACGACGACGATGACGACGACGACGACGACGAACGACGACGACGACGACGACGACGACGACTACTATTACTAATACTTCTACTAGTAATACCTCTACTACTTCTTCTTCTTCTACTACTACTACTATTACTATTACTACTTCTACTACTACTACTACTACTACTACTACTACTACTACTACTACTACTACTACTACTACTACTACTACTACTACTACTACTACTACTATAGTTATTATTCTCAAGGCCTCGCTCGCTGCGTTTTTTCGGCAAGCGCCTCTACGTCAGGTGGGAAGGGGGGGCGGGTTTGACTCCCTCGTATCTGTTCGTTCGAAAGGTGATTTTCCAGTCACGGGGTTGTGTGACCTCGTGGTGCTTGCACTGCATTTCTGTCTCCCGCGGCACGATGGTGCCGCGCCCCTCCTCGTCCTCGCCAGCTAGGCGTTCCGGCCCGGGAGCTCTCGCGCAAACAGCCAGCTTGGAGGGTGGGTTGGTGGTGGGGTCGATGGTCCATGGAACATAGGATGGCCCAGCACACGCGTAATCAACCTCAGCCCGCGAACGTTGGATACTCTTTCGACCCTGGGCGCGCCGAGCTTGAAGAAAGTACACGTGCATGAGTCCACGTTGGCCTCGAACACGCGCATCGCGCGAGCGTTCGTGTCACGCGGCTGGTCTTGCTGGCGGGGGGGGGGGGCCGCATCGGAGCACTTGGTTTGGCGCGCGCGCGCCCTTCGTGGGTCCCCAACAGAGGCGAGATTTATGCCCATGTCCGCTGCGCCTCCGCCTTTGGGCGCCCCTTCCAAGAAAGTCCAAGACGCAGTCGATGTGACTCTGGACATCTCGCCCGCGCCCACCGAGGCCACCGCCTCCTCGCAGCTCGGCGCCGAGGAGGCGGCGCAGGGGGTCGGCTCGCAGACCACCTCCGCGATCCCGAGGAGGCGGGCAGCGCCGGGGGGAGGAAAGCGGCCAGCTCGCGGCCGTGCACCGCCGCCACGGTCGGCCAGGGCCGCCCGAGGGGGGCGACGGGAGGCGCGCGAAGTGCGCCGAGAGCCTGGCCGGGCCCCGCCCTCGGCTCGGGATCGGTGCACGTCCAGACGTGCTCCTGTGGCATGGCTCGGGCGTGTGCGGTGTTCCCTCGGCGAGGACCCTCGAGGAGCACCTTTGGGTCCTCCTTGCGACCAGCTGAGAGGCACGAGGCCGAAGACTGCACGGGGAGCGGACGTCCGAGCGATGGCGAGGCTCGCGCCCCGCGGGGCTCTCGCGACGGGCGGTCTTGGGCCGTTGTCTCGTCTTCCCGGGGGCCCCCTCGCGGGGCCCCGGGGACCGGCGCAGACCTGGGTGCTCGCCTCGCGGGGCTCTCGCGACGGGCGGCTTTGGGGGCCGTGGTCGGCCCCGCCGAAAGCGGCCGTCAAGAGCGGCGCGGGATGAAAGACTGGCCCTCTGGGGAGAAGGTCGGGGCTTCTGCTAGGTCGGGCCTGTGCCCCTACAGGGGGATAGCGGACGAAAAACGGAACACACACACACACGAGAATGTTCGAATGATCTTCACCAGTCTTCGAAGAATCGTCCCCCGCAGTTTTCTTGGACTCCTTTTGGTGATTCCCCCTGCAGGGGGACAGGCCCGACGTAAGGCTTCCGGGGGCGGCGCGTCGAAGAGTCGAGGCGCCGCGGGCCTGGGCGTGCCCTCCCCCTGGCCGAGTCAGGGGGTGGGCGCGTACGCACAGGTCCTCTGGAGGAGGAGGGGGAGGAGGAGGAGGAGAGGAGGGGGAGGAGGAGGAGGAGGAGGAGGAGGAGGAGGAGGAGGAGGAGGAGGAGGAGACAGACCTCCTACCTTGACACGTCGATTGGCGAATTGGTCGTTTTCGGTTCGCGAGAGGGCGTCGCGGCCGTCATCTCTGCGGGTCCAGGTCTGTCGGTTTCGGTCCGAGGCCGTCTTCACGAGAGGGTGGTTTGTTCCAGGGAGGTTTGTCCACCGCCGAGTCCTGGGCCCAGGAAGCTCCACGCCGAGGTTGGTGCCAGTGCACGCTTTCTCCTTGTGTACTGTACCTCCCGAGCCCCAGTCGGGCCGGGCGGGAAGGGGGGCTTGCACCAGGGGGTGACAGGAAATCTGCTGGCTTCGGCCCCGCCTGGCGCCTCCGGCACCGGGGGGCGCTAGGAAGGCCAGCTTCAATGCACCTGCTTCGCTAACCATCCCTCCACTCGTCCGCCCCGACCCAGGGTGGCGCACAGATCGACGAACAACAGACGGCGCAAGTATGATGTTGCGGAGGCCCGCGCGGATTTCGTGCATCGGCGCTGGGCACCTCTGGCGTGCAGCGCCGACCCAATGCCAAGAACTTCCCGCGGACCTCCGACAATCTGCGGCCGCTTCGGCGCGACACGCTATCCACGTCCTCCTGTCCGTGCGTCGACGTCCGGAGGCTGTTCCGTGCCTCTCGCTCCGCAGTGCGGAGCGACACGCTGTCCGCTGGCAAGGCACGGCGTGTCGCCGGGGCCGCCTGGCCGGGCGAGGCCCAGGGCGGCCTTGGCCGGACGTGGTGGTGGTGGTGGTGCTTGCAGTGGAGACCCATGCCTCCTCCTCCTCCTCCTCCTCCTCCTCCTCCTCCTCCTCCTCCTCCTCCTCCTCCCTCCTCCTCTGCAGTGGAGGCCCATGCCAAGAGACACCCTGCTTGCCTCCAGGGGGGCTCTGGGTTTCTTGGGATTCGATGGCTCTGCCGTGGAAGGCGTGACGCTCCCACACCAAAAGTCAATGGACGCCTTGGGGTCCAACGGTCAGGTTTCTCGTGGAGGGTTTCTTGTGGACTGGCCTCCACGGTATGCCCCTCGCATTTTTGCCCACAGGGCTGCCCTGGCCGGGAGAGGCCCAGAGCGGCCTCGGCCGGACGCGGCGGTGGTGCACACTTGGCCTACGGCTGCCTCCCGCGCAGGAGCGACGTCTCCAAGAACGCGAGTGCGCTCGAGGACCGTGCGCTCTTTTGCCCCTTCGCTTTTTCCTTTGCGACGGCCCTCGAAGAGAAGTGACACTGTTGGTTTACCCACAAGAGTTCGGATGCAACTCCCGGGAGGTCAAATTCTGATGTTGCCCTGGTCCGAAGTCAAGCTTAATCTGGCTTGATCCCGCTTAATCCATTTTAATCCCGCTTAATCCGAGGCCCACTCTGGTGTAATAGCCCCGCGATGGGGTTGAATCCTCCTTATTCTTTCCGACGAAGACCTCCCAGCAGATGCTTCCTAAAAAGAGGGTCCAGCTACAAGGGGGCGGTGCAGTAGATCTGGTGCAACAGGTTTGTGGGTTGCAGTAGCTTCCGGGCGTGCAACACATTCCGGGGTGCAGCCGTATTGCTGGATCTTCGCGTGTACCGCATCAGTTGCAACACAATTCAATGCAAGTCTTTTGGCGCAGCATGCACACTTGCAACCCAATGGCCCCAGATCTATTGCCTAATCATTGCGCCACCCTCTTATCAGCCGGACCCCCTCCTATGGTCAACCTCGACACTGCACGGACGTGAGCGCTCGAAGCCCCGCGCGGATCTCTTGGAGCGGCGCGGCTCCTCCGTCTCCCCCAGCGCGCGGAGCGCGCCACGGGTTCGGCATCTTGCGCCGGTCCAGGAGGTCCGCGCGGGTTTCCGACCGGTCCTGCTTGTATCCAGTGGCGCTGCCGCGGGATTCCACCACCGCGCTCGGGCGGGCGCCTTCGGGGGGGGAGGGGGGGGGGGGGCGGCGCCGGGGGGGGGGGAATTGATCCATTGTCAATGGATCATGGGGGAGGGATCAATCTGAGCGTCCCTCCCCCAACCTTGTGTCTGGGCACACGTTCTGCCTGGAGCGCCACAAGCGCAGGGAAGTGGTGATACAACTGAACGCATCTTGGCCTCGATGCGTCGGGGGGCCCAATGATTGCTTCGCAACGAGCGAGAAGACCCGACACACACACGCGCACACACAAACACACAAACACACAAACACACAAACACACAAACACACAAACACACAAACACACACACAAACACACAAACACACAAACACACAAACACACAAACACACAAACACACAAACACACAAACACACAAACACACAAACACACAAGCGCACACACAAACACACACAAACACACAAACACACACAAACACACAAACACACACAAACACACAAACACACAAACACACACAAACACACAAACACCCAAACACACAAACACACAAACACACAAACACAAACACACACACAACACACACAAACACACAAACACACAAACACACAAGCACACAAACACACAAACACACAAACACACAACACACACAAACACACAAACACACAAACACATAAGCACACAGACACACAAGCACACAAACACACAAACACACACAATCACACAAACACACACAAACACACAAACACACACAAACACACAAACACACAAACACACAAACACACAAACACACAAGCACACACACACGCAAACCCACAAACACACAAACACACAACACACACAAACACACAAGCACACAAACACACAAACACACAAACACACACAAACACACAAACACACAAACACACAAACACACACAAACACACAAACACACAACACACACAACACACACAACACACACAACACACACAAGCACACAAGCACACAAACACACAAGCACACAAACACACAAACACACAAACACACACAAACACACAAACACACAAACACACAAACACACAAACACACAAACACACAACCACACAAACACACAAGCGCACACACACGCAAACAAACAAAAACAACACACACAAACACACAAGCACACAAACACACAAGCACACAAACACACAAGCGCACAAATACACACACACACAAACACACAAACACACAAACACACAAACACACAAACACACAAACACACACAAACACACAAACACACAAACACACACAAACACACACAAACACACAAACACACAAACACTCAAACACACAAACACACAAACGCACACACACTCAAACACAAAAAACACACAACCACACAAGCACACAAACACACAAACACACAAACACACAAACACACAAACACACAAACACATAATCACACAGACACACAAGCACACAAACACACAAACACACACAAACACACAAACACACAAACACACAACACACACAAACACACAAACACACAAACACACAAGCACACAAGCACACACGCATACAAACACACAAACACACAAAACACACAAACACAGAATCACACAAACACACAACACACACAACCACACAAACACACAAACACACAAAAACACACAAACCACACAAACACTCAAAACACACAAAACACGCACACACCACACACAAACGACACAGCAACACCAACACACCGGCACACAAACACACACACACACACAGGCACACAAACACACAATACTACAGACCATCACACAAACAAACACAAGAAAAACAAAACCCACAACACACAAAGACACAAACACACAAACAGACACAACCAGACACAAACACACAAACACCACAAACACTCAAACACATCAAACACACAAATTCACAAGACTCAAGCACACAAACACACAGACACACAAAACACACAAACAACAAACACACAAACAACAAACATCGAAAACCACACAACCACACAAACACAACAAACACACACAAACACACACACAAATACACAAAAACACACAAAACACACAAACATCAGCAAACACACAAAATACAACTACACAAGCCACACAAACACACAACACATAAGCACACAGAAACACGCAAAAACAAACACCAAAAACATACCATAACACACAGGCATACAGGCACACAAGTACACAAACACACCAAACACACAAATACACATAACACACAAACACACAAACACACTCAAAACACACTCAAAACACACAAACACACAAACACACAAACACACAAACACACAAACACACAAACATCAAAAACACACAAACACACAAACACACAAACACACACAAACACACACACAAACACACAAACACACAAACACACAAACACACAAACACACAAACACACAACCACACAAGCACACAAACACACAACACACAAGCACACAAACACGCAAACACACAAACACACAACACACACAAACACACAAGCACACAAACACACAAGCACACAAACACACAACACACACAAGGACACAAACACACAAGCAGACAAACACACAAACACACAACCACACAAACACACAAACACACACACAAACACACACACAAACACACAAACACACACAAACACACAAACACACAAACACACAAACACCCAAACACCCAAACACACAAGCACACAAGCACACAAACACGCAAAAATGCAAACACACAAACACACAAACACACAAACACACAACCACACAAACACACAAACACACAAACACACAAACACACAAACACACAAACACACAAACACCCAAACACGCAAACACACAAGCACACAAACACACAAACACCCAAACACCGAAACACCAAAGCACCCAACCACACAACCACACAAACACAAACACACAAACACACGCACACACAAACACACAAACACACAAACACACAAACACACAAGCACACAAACACACAAACACACAAACACACACACAAACACACAAGCACACAAACAGACAAACACACAAACACACAAACACACAAACACACACAAACACACACAAACACACAAACACACAAACACACAAACACGCAATTACACAAACACACAAACACACAACGACAACCACACACAAACACACACTGACACACAAACACACAAACACACAACCACACAAACACACAAACACACAAACACACAAGCACACAAACACACAACCACACACAAACACACAAACACACAAACACAAACACACAAACACACAACCACACAAACACACACACACAAACACGCAAACACACAAACACACAACACACACAAACACACAAACACACACACACACACAAACACACAAACATACACAAACACACAAACACACATACACACACAACCACACAAACACACAAACAAACAAACACACAACCACACAAACGCAACCACAAACACAAACACACAAACACACAACATCACAAAAACACAAACAACACAAACACACAAACACACAACCACACACACACAAAAACACGAAAGCACAAGCGCACAAGCGCACACGCGCATTAGCACACGCACACGCACACGCACACGCACACGCACACGCACACGCACAAACACAAACACAGACACAAACACAAACACAACCACAACCACAAACACAATCACAAACACAAACACGAACACAAAGACAAACACAAACACAAACACAAGCACAAACACAAACACAAACACAAACACAAACACAAACACAACACCCAACACACAACACACAAACACAAACACAAAGACAACCACAACCACAACCACAACCACAAACACAAACACAAACACAACGCATGCACGCGCGCACGCACGCACGCACGCACGCACGCCCGCACGCCCGCACGCCCGCACGCCCGCCCGCCCGCCCGCCCGCCCGCCCGCACGCACGCCCGCACGCCCGCCCCCCCGCGCCCGCCCCCCCGCCCCCGCGCCCGCGCCCGCGCCCGCGCCCGCCGCCCGCGGCCGCGCACGCACGCACGCACGCCCGCACGCCCGCACGCCCGCACGCCCGCACGCCCGCACGCCCGCACGCCCGCACGCCCGCACGCGCGCACGCGCGCACGCGCGCACGCGCGCACGCGCGCACGCGTGCACGCGCACACGCGCACACGCGCACACGCGCACACGCGCACACGCGCACACGCGCACACGCGCACACGCGCACACGCGCACCCGCACACGCGCACACGCGCACACGCGCACACGCGCACACGCGCACACGCGCACACGCGCACACGCGCACACGCGCACACGCGCACACGCGCACACGCGCACACGCGCACACGCGCACACGCGCACACGCGCACACGCGCACACGCGCACACGCGCACACGCGCACACGCGCACACGCGCACACGCGCACACGCGCACACGCGCACACGCGCACACGCGCACACGCGCACACGCGCACACGCGCACACGCGCACACGCGCACACGCGCACACGCGCACACGCGCACACGCGCACACGCGCACACGCGCACACGCGCACACGCGCACACGCGCACACACGCACACACGCGCACACGCGCACACGCGCAACACGCGCACACGCGCACACGCGCACACGCGCACACGCGCAACACGCGCAACACGCGCACATCCAGCTCATTAAACATACGCGCACACGCGCACCACGACGACGCACGCGCGCACGCGCGGTACGCGCGCACCACGCGCACACGCGCACACGCGCCCACGGCGCACGCGCACACGCGCACACGCACACACGCACACACGCCGCACACGCGCACACGCACACACGCACACACGCGCAACACGCACACGCACACACGCACACACGCACACACGCACACACGCACACACGCACACACACACACCACACACCACACACACACCACACACACCACACACATATTCACATCCACACACACACACACATTCACATTCACACACACATACACATTCACATTCACACACACACACGCACACACGCACACACACACACGCACACACACGCGCACACACACACCCACACACCCACACACCCACACACCCACACACCCACACACACCCACACACCCACACCCACACACACACACACACATACCGCTGCAAGCGCGGTGGCGGACGATGAAAGGCCCGCACTTCGTGGGCGTCGCGGCATCCACGAGAGCCTGAAGTGGGGCAGGCGTCTCGCCAGCCAGTGGGTGTCTTGAAGTTTCACACGTCCGAGCGCCGCGAGCAGAAACCACGATGGGCCTCTTCGCCTCAGTTTTCCGGCCCTGGGACCATTCTGGGATCGATCTGGCCCAAGCAGTGCCGCAGATAGACTACGGGACCGAGGGCCCTGGCCTTGTTTGTGCTGCGTTGTTGCAATCTTTGCCACGACGTCGGGTTTCAGGGGGTAGCGGGGCAAAACTTATCGAGAAGGCCTGACAGGATCCGGCTTGAATGAGAAACACTTACTTTTCAAAAGGGGCTCGGTCGTCCCTTTGGTTTGCAGTTGTTCCGCTACTTTTTTGGCGGCGAGCTTCCCTGGTGTTCCTTGGAAAACAGGAGCTTCGTTCTTCATTCATCGTTCCTAGGTCAGGCCGAATCCTGTACAGCTGGTGCCGCCGACCCTAAGGGAGGGAGACGACGACGGCGACGACGACGACGCTGACGCTCCAGAGCCCTTGAGGAAGAGGGTCCAGGGAAAGAGGTGGAGCGGCGACGGCGACGACGACTCCAACTGGAAAACGTCTCTCTCACACACGCGCCAGCAGGGTCGGCGGATTCTTCCTCCTAGGAGGAGGAGGAGGAGGAGGAGGAGGAGGAGGAGGAGGAGGAGGAGGAGGAGGAGGAGGAGGAGGAGGAGGAGGAGGAGGAGGAGGAGGAGGACTCCCACCTTTCTCTTTCCCTTCCCCCTCTCTTTCTCTACACCACGGGCTGAGGCCTTTCTTTGTGGGCCCGTGGCAAGGATTTCGGCTCCCCGGCTCTGCTGCTGTTTAGCCATGCCAGAGTTCGGGAAGCGACACATCGGCCACCTCGCCGATCTCGGCCGGGCCCAGCCTGGGCCCGGCATGGGCCCTGCCTGGGTCGGTGAGTTGGCCCGTTGACGCAAGAAGCATGCCCCGAACGCCTGTTCCCCAGGTGTTGCGCATTCGGCGCCTGGTCTGGTGGCAGAGTTTTCCCATGCGGCGTCCGGTCAGGATTCCCTGGGTCCAGACTCTGGGTGCCCTTGATTCGGGGGAGCGTAAGACCCGGGTTTGCCAGGACTCGGGTTCGCCATCGTTTTTTGAAGACCGCGCTTCGGATTTTGACGAGGAGGAGTTTCGTGGGATGTCTGCAGCGGGAGGCCTCGTCAAAATGCAGGCTCGGCCTCGTAATTTTTTTGACGACCTCGTCGGGGATTTCCGAGTCCCCTGTACCCAGGTCTTACGTCCCCCTGATTGATGGGTCTGGATGGGATGGGTCTGGACCAGAAACTTCTGAGCCCTGGGTGGGCCTGGACCAGACCCGTCCAGGGCTCAGAAGAGCTCCGCAGCCCAGGCTGCCTGGAAATACCGTTGCCTTGGAGGCCGCATGAAAAGGGGGGGTCGAGAGACGAGGGGGGGCAGCGAGGGCTGCCGAGAAGAGGGGCCGTTTCGGGCCCCTGAAGGGGACCCCTCGGGCCCAGGAGGGGGCCTGCCAGCGAGAGCCTGGCGAGGGACCCAGCGTGGGCGCACCGCGGCAATACACCCCCCGGCCGCACGCGGCGTAAGACCGGGAAGCACGCCGGGCAGCTCCGCGCTCCCCGAGGCGGCTGGTACGAGCAGGAGAAGAGGAGGAGGCGCGCCGCGGCTGCCGCAGCCGAGGCCGCGGCCGGCGGGGTCGGAATCCCAGCGTGGCGCGGCAAGGGCTCTGGCGACAAGAGCGGCAAGGGCAGGGCCCGAGAAGGGCACCTGTCTTCCCCCCTCGAGTATCGCCCCACCCCATGGCGTCGCGCCCGAGCTGCCGTGCCCCGGAACCGCGACCCTGGAAGCCGCGGGCCCGCGCCTGCATGGCTTTCCCCCAGGGCCGTAGGCGACCCGAGGATGAGGAGGCGGCGGAGGAGGAGGAGGAGGAGGAGGAGGGGGGATGGGGAGGAGGGGTAGGAGGAGGAGGGAGGAGGAGGATGAGGAGGAGGACCAGGAGGAGGACAGGCCGCCTAAGCCCTTCGGAGAAACCCTCCACCGCGACCCTGGAAACCGTGGGCCCGGGACCCCCAAGCGCCGGGCGCTCGGCCTGGAGAGCGCATGGGCGCCATGAGGTCCATGTCCGCGGCCAGAGAGCGTCGTATATCTCGGGTCCAGTGGAGTTCTCGGTGGAGCTCTCTGTGGGACTGCGGAACACATGAACGGCACGAGGAGGAGGATGAGGATGAGGAAAAGGAGGGCGAAAAGGAGGAGGAAGAGGAGGAGGAGGAGGCGTAGGAGGAGGAGGAGGAGGAGGAGGAGGAGGAGGAGAATAGGAGGAGGAGGCGGAGGAGGAGGAGGAGGAGGAGGAGGAGGAGGAGGGAGGAGGAGGATGGGAGGAGGAGGAGGAGGAGGAGGAGGAGGAAGGATGAGGAGGAGGAAGGGAGGAGGAGGAGAAGGAGGAGGAGGGAGGAGGAGGATGAGGAGGAGGATGAGGGGGAGGAGGAGGAGAGGAGGAAAAGGAGGAGGAGGAGGAGCAGGAGGAGGAGGAGGAGGAGGAGGAGGAGGAGGAGAAGAGGAGAGGAGGAGGAGGAGGAGAAGGAGGAGGGGGAGAAGGAGGAGGAGGAAAACTTGGAAGGGGAGGAGGAGGAGAAGGAGGAGGAGGAGCAGCAGGAGCAGAAGGAGGAGGAGGAGGAGGAGCAGGAGTAGGAGTTGGAGGAGGGGGAGGAGGAGGAGGAGGAGGAGGAGGATCAGGAGGAGCATGAGGACGAGGGTCCGAGTCGACCTTCTGTCTCCTCGTCATGCTTACCCTTCTTCTCCTGCTCCTCATTTTTTGCGTTGGGTAAACTGTGAGCGAGACTCGTAGCCTCGTGCAACATCGTATGGGTAAGCGAGAAAAGCAGTTCCAGAGAGACTCACATGCAATTCCCGTTCCTCCCTCCTCCTCCTCGATCTCCTGAGGAGGAGGAGGCGGAGGGAGGAGGGAGGAGCAGTCGCTGGCCGAGTCGGGTGCCTGCGGGCTGCTTCTGTTTGTGGACGCAGGGCTCTCTGAAAATCACCAGGCGTCCGCTCACATGGCCTTTCTGAGGAACCTGACGGACCAGGCGCCGCAGGACAACGACGAAGAATCCACCAACAACCACCGGAGCGCCACCCTCAGTTACTGCTGGCAGGGCGTGAGCAGGGGGAGGTACATACAACGATATGATGCAGATGGCGACGATGCTGATGCTGCTGTTGCTGATGATGATGCTGATGCTAGTGCTGCTGCTGATGATGGTACTGATGATGATGATGATGATGATGATGAACATGATGATGATGATGATGATGATGATGATGATGATGATGATGATGATGATGATGATGGTGATGGTGATGGTGATGGTGATGGTGATGATGATGATGATGATGATGATGATGATGATGGTGATGAACTTGATAAAGCTCCTGCTCCTGCTGCCGCTGCTGATGATGATGATGTGGAGGAGGAGGTGGAGGAGGAGGAGGAGGATGGTGATGTTGCTGCAGATGATCATGCTAATGCTGCCGTTGCTGATGATGCTGATGCTGATGCTTTATGATTCATGATGATGCTGATGATGATGCTGATGCTGATTCTCCTGATGATGATGGTATGTTGATGATGATGCTGATGCTGCTGATGCTGCTGATGCTGCTGATTATGATGCTGATGTTGATGATGCTGATGATGATGATGATGATGATGATGATGATGGTGGTGGTGATGATGATGCCGATGATAGCAATGATGATGACCACGAGTTTGATGATACTGTTGATGATGGCGGTGACGATGCTTGTGAGGAGGAGGATTCTGCTGATGACGACGATCACGATGATACTGATGATGCCCTTGATGGTGAAAAGAATGGTGATAGTGAGGGTGATGGTGATGGTGATGATGATGGTGGTGGTGATGACAATGGTGATGGTGGTGATGACGGCCGCGATGATGATGCTACTGCTGCTGCTGATGATGATGGTAATGATGACGATGGTGGTGGTGATGAGGATGATGCTGATGACGACGACGATGCTGATGCTGATGATGATGCTGGTGGTGGTGATTATGATGATTCTGGTGGTGGAGATGGTGGTGATGATAATGATGCTGATGATGATGGTGGTGATGATGATGGTGGTGGTGGTGGTGCTGATGCTGATGCTAATGCTGATGCTGATGCTGATGATTATGGGGATGCTGATGATGCTGGTGATGTTGACGTTGACGATGATGATGAGGATGATGAGAATGCAGATGCTGATGCTGATGTTTGTGATGATGAGGCTGATGATGATGACATGGTGATGCTGCTGATGATGATGCTGATGTTGATGCTGATGCTGATGCTGCTGATAATGGAGATGCTGATGCTGATGATGCTGATGATGATGCTGATGCTGACGATGAGGAGGAGGCGGAGGAGGAGGAGGAGGAGGAGGAGGAGCAGGACAGGCGGGAACTGGGGGGGAGACGGAGGAGGGCATGGCGAGGAGGATGGGGAGGCGAGGAGAGGAGGAGGAGGAGGAGGAAGACGAGGGGACAGGAGGGGACGGGTGGAGGAGGAGGAGGAGGAGCAGGAGGTGTATGAGGAGGAGGGGTAAGCAATTAGGAGGAGGAGGGGAGGGGAGGGAAGTGCAGGTGGGGGGGACCACGGGCAAGACGGGAATATTCACGGGCTTACGCCACACCGCCGACCCCTTGGGGCCCTTGGATGTTGAGACCCTGTTTGGTCATACGAAGGCGATACTGTGTTGCTATGCAAATTTTCTTCGTCCTCTCTCATCTTCTTCCCCTCATCTTCACCGCCGTCCTCGCACTCGCCCCCCCCCCCTCTCCTTCATGTCCCGCCTCCTCCCCCTCTTCCTCCTCCACCTCCTCCTCATCTTCCCTCTCCTCCTGCAGCTTCTCTTTCTCCTCGATCTCTTCCTCGTCCTCGTCCTCCTCCTCCTCCTGCTCCTCTTCCTCCCCTCCCTCCTTCCGCCCCCTTTCCTGCGATCGCCGACCCTTCTCGACGTCTCTCCCTCCTCCTTCTTTTTCCTCCTGCTTTCTTCGACCCGTGCTCCCATCGGTCTTCGATCGTCAACCGTCGATCCTACGACATCGCCGCCCAGAAGGCAGGCATTCACGGCCCCAGGAGCGTGAAGAACTGCTGTCTTGCGCCTGCGATGGGGCCTCTCGCCTCTCGTCCAGCCCCCTCTCTTGGAGGCAGCTCCAAGCCGCTTGTGGGGGGCCGTTTGGGGACCTCCAGGGCGCTGGTTTGGGCCTCCTCGGAGCCGCTCGGGGCCCTCCTGGGCCGTCTTGGGCGCCTCTTTGGCCGTCTTGGGGCTATCTTGGGCTGTCTTGGGCCCCTCTTGGGCCGCTTTGGGGAGATCTTGGCTGTCTTGGGCGCCTCTTTGGCCACCCCGTCACCGTCCGGGGCCGTCTCGGGGCCTCTTGGAGCCCTCTTGGCCCGTCTGAGGTCAATCTTCAAGGCCTCTGGGGCAGTCTTAGACGAACGGAAGCACAACAAGGGAAACCTGCGAAGCATGACAGTTTTCGCGCGGGAGTTGGGTGAGCTTTTCTGGTTGGGGCCCTCGTGGGGGTCCTCGTGGGTCCCTCGGCTGGCGTCTTGGAGGGCTCTTGGGCTGTGGCGACTGGGTGCGGTCTGGGAGCACGTGGGGGCCGATGCGCATCGCCCCAAGAGCCTTTTTTTGTGTATATATATATGTGTATATATATACATATATATATATAAATAGTTAAAGCAATCCGAGCCCTTTGAGAGCCTCTCCGAAGCCGTCGGGGGCCGTCCGGGCGCGCTTCTGAGGCGGCACGCACGCTGGAACAGCCTCCCTCCTCCCTCCTCCCTCCTCCCTCCTCCCTCCTCCCTCCTCCTCCCTCCTCCCTCCTCCTCCTCCTCCTCCTCCTCCTC